CTCATTATTGTACGCAGGAAGAAAATAGAGAAGGTAAGATTATGGCAAAGGCAACGGGGATTACAGTGCTTTAGCGTAGAGTTATCAATTATAAGGCAGAGAAACAGTTATATTCCAAAAGCTCTTTGTGCGCGACTCGCTCGTTCTCTATGCGAGCGCATTTCTAATCCTCTGTAAATTATATTATTTTCGCTGTTTGTTTACCTCGAGCGACTCCAGAGGTTCCGCAGTGTATACGTATAAATGGAGCCTACTGTCAAGCCTGGGATTTGCGGCGACTTTACTGCTTTCAACGAGCACTTGGCCCTTTCCTTCCATGATATGGGCCTTTATCTCTAATCACTATCATACAGAATCGAAATGAAAATTATGTTCATAGTCGCGAACTCTATAATAACTATTGACTCGAGTATTTCTGTAATATGGTAATCTAATTCTTACATCAGGAATTGCGTCAATAACTTTTTCCCTTCAACTCAATTTTACAACTAGTAACATTTGATGTAATAATAGAGCTTACTATTTTCATAGCAAAAAGTAAAAATTTTTCTAATTCATTTCAATATTTGTTACATCGCTCTTTTCATTCGGGGCAATAAAAATGATCAGATAATACGTAGCTAGAGATGTGCGCATATACATGTAGAACAGCGAAACGATATGTGAATAAATCTCGTAGTTGGCTCGTATATGGCTTTTGCGTTTCACGTTTCCTGACAGCCGCTCGGGCATGCGTGTGTGCCTGCGCGCTCATCTAACGATGGGGAATACAAAGTGAAAAACAGAAGAAATACACAGCGCGTAATTATGATTTCTTTTCATTGAAAACTTTGATGGAAAGCGTTGGAAAAGCACTTTGAGCTTTGGCTCGGCGCATTAAATTCTAGAATAACAGTTCATTCGCGTATAAGAGTATTAAAAATTAGGAGAAAACTTTATTCTCCTCGTTACAATTGTATCGAATTTTACCCTTTTTTTGTCCTCATTCGGTTCGCCACCTCGTTTACAAATCCAACTTCCTCGCAGTTGTGTACGATCCCATTTCTCGTCCGTTCTTTAATCATGCCAACGTCCGATAATTATAAAAGATTTCGAACAATGAAAAAATTCCAGCGAAGAGGCCCTCTCTTTCTCTGACAGATACGGGTAAATAATACCATGTCCATGCACCGGTGTGTCCATTCCGCTGTACAGCATGCAGGAGAGCAAGAGCGAGAGAGAGAAAGCTAAAGAGCGAGAGGAAAAAAAGATTTCGTGTTCTGCTGCTGGCCTTTTGTGTTGAGCAACAGAGTCCCGTCATTAATTCGCTCGCTTCTATCTCGTTCCTGCATTTATTCCCTTTTTCTCCTTTTGACATGGGTATCATGCCTGTGCGATTTTTACTCTTCTCGTTGTCTGTATTTGATGCTTACGTTACATCGGTTATAATATCGCGCGTATGCGTAATTTTTCCTCCAATCTTGAATTTCAAACGTATTATTATTATCATAGTGTCTCTTTTTTTTTCATTTCATGCACCGCGTTCGATTTGTGTCAAGACAGAGAAGCCCGTAAATGAAAACAAAATCTCCTCCACCGAAGCTGCATAGTAAATAATCAATGCTTGGTTGCGGCCGAGACATTAGTCACGCATTTAAATGGGATTCTCGAGTCGAGAACACGGCGCAGCTCCGAGACGAAGCGAGGAATTAGAAGGGTGTTTCGCAGGTCTTAAAGGATTTAAGCCCGCGACACGAGGTACTTGAGACGCGAAGACAACTCTACACTCAATCGACATTAAGAAGAGCTGTACACCCACTAGAGGAATGACTCGGAGGATAGCTGACTAGGATGGCCATGTTTCTCGGGTATATCAAGCGTGAAATATGTAGCGAGGCAAAGCGAGCAACAACGTTGTGCTCGTTGTTTCTTTTATTTGTTTCAATTGCGAGTAACGCGCATACCTCTGCGAGCAAAAACAAGAAAGTTTGTTAGAGAAAAAGGTCGTGTCTGAAGAATTCCTATTCTCCGTTACAGACTGGCCAGCGTGGCATAATACGTATCCCAAAAGGTGGTGGTCTGCGCGAGGGTGCGTCAGAAGAGATTTTGTAAAGGGGATTTTCAACCCTTTCCTTGAGAGTCGTCGTAGCTCGAAATTTCCTAACTGATTTACGGGAAAACAAGTCTGTTTAATATTTCGCTCTCTATCTGTGTGTGTTTCTGTCGCAGGTTAGCCCGTGGCGCCACCGCTCCTACTTAGTCAACTTATTTAACTCGTTTAGCGCACCACCGTTTGCTTAGGTGTATTTATGCGTGTTCGCGCGACGAAACTGTGCTCGTGTGCCTGTGCTTTCATTTAAATTTCACACTCCTGACCACATACAATTCTTCACGCTCGACTAGACGAATAAATTTCTCGAGGCCGCTGCACACAGATATATATGTAGGCGTGCATTTTTTCAACTTAATCGATAGTATTCGAGCTTGCGGCCGAGCCTCGCGTATGAATTTATCGCGCAAAGTGCGAAACCAGTCGTATAATTCATTTTCACCTAACAAGCGTTAAATTCCTTTATAACGTTCAACAAATTGCGATAAAAGCTAGTTAGAGGCTGCTGCTGCTCTTATAATATAAGCTCGGCAGCTAAGACGCGCGCGAGCTAATACGCGTCGAAAAGCTCAAGTCGAGCGTGCATGCGCGCTATCCGCCCGCTCGCCTCGAGTTATAAATCTTTCGTATAGGTTTCCTCTCTCTCTTTCTCGCCCCAAACACGTGTGTGCGTGGGATGCCGTGAAATTTCGCGCACCAGCGGCATTTTCTCGCACAATGTTTTCTTACATAATCGTGCGTGGACCGAGGCAGAGCTCTACCCTGCCTATGAATGACGAAACATTTTTCGCATTTTTCCCGCGCGAGAGCTTGTTTGCCGGGTAATTTATTAAAGCTCGCTCGACTCGTGCCTGCGCGTGTACAAGAATTATCAACTCTCGAAAATACATTTGTCCTGACGTTCTAATTATCATTAGCGCTCACGAGCACACTCGGGGCGAACGAATGTCTCGTAATGTATTTCGCTCGCTTGAACCGAGCTTGCGATTCTCATTCGCCTTCCGTTTTATTACAGTTATTTGCTCGCCTACATAAAAGCACAACACTAAATTAACGCGGCGCATCCTAAAATTAATTATTTGACGTTGGAACGTCGTGCGAGCGCGGCGCAATATTTTTCATAAAGTTATTGTTGTGTACAGTAACGGCGCGCGGTGTGCCGTAGCAGCGAACGAGTATATACGAAAAGACGCGCAGCGACTCGTCCACTAGGCGCCGCGCGCTTAAATATAGATTAAAGCTAGAGAAACGCCACTACTCTCTGGGTGATTAGCCGACGCGCACCCGCGCAAAACTAGCTGCCGAGGAGAGGGCGATTAATCAGCGCCCGCGCGCGCCTTCCTACACGGACTCAGCTAGAAATGACAAATTTATCTAATCTCGCTTGACGCGTCGCAGTAGCACCCACGCGTGCAAAAACATAAACCTACAAATGCGTGGGAAAATTTTGCGGCGCGTGCCACCTCTTAATAGCGCCCGTGTACTAATAAGCCCGAATTATTTTTTTTATCGATTTTTTATCAATGCCACTTCCATGAATGCGGTAATTAATTATTATTGTAAACACTTATTATAATTGACAGAAAAAGCGAAGGAAAAGAAAATTTCCCCAGAATCGTCAACTTCATATGAAATTGTTTTCAGTTTAACATGCACAACAATTATTAAATATTCTCTAACGATATATTATAATGTTTAAGATAATATGTGTTTCGAACGACTAAGAGCTGTATTTTTAAAGAGATCAGAAATGAGAAGAAAGAAAAAAAAATAAACTGAAAAAAAAACATGGTTTATTGCATTACGTTGTAAGACTATAAACATACTTCTTTATATATTATGATATTTTTATATAATTTAATTAAAATACTATCTATTTTTTACTTCTCAAAAAGAGATAGACCTAACAGTGAAGCATTTTAAAAGAAGTTATGATTGGTCGATTACCTTTTGCTTAAAACGCATCTAAAGATTACAAGCTCATTCAAGAGAAATAAGTTGTTTCAGAGTTATTGAAATTCGATGAAAGCACCGATCGCAATAGCTCCGGTTGGATCTCATGGTGCGTCTAGCCTCGAACTCGTTTACGACGCATGATACATTTTGGCATAGCAAAGCATCGTTGGTTATCACCCTCATCGCTGAGCCAATAATAATCATTTTAGCTTTTCTCGTACACGGGCACGCACATTTTGTACTTTGCAGTCGAAAATTCGTCCGCGTAATATCGCGACGACGCGTTATTTATAAAGCCGTCAGACTATTTACTACTGACTTGGGCCAGCTGCCTTGCCAGAAAAGAGAAAGAGCTGTACACTCAATGAAATAAAGCACCAAGCGTCACGATATATGCCCCGTAGTGGCATCTTTTCAGCCGGTACAGTAGATACACACACAAGTGCGATGTTTGTCTGATTTATAAGGTACGAGGCATGCAAATTTCGCGCCTAGAAGATATTTATAAGCTAGCCATGTACGATTTTCGATACCTGTGCTATACAACTTTGCCTATATTATGTACACGACAAGTTTCCTTTTCGAGACTCGAGGCATTTTGGACTACACACACATGTACGTATGTGCGCGCACGTTACACGGCTACTGTTGTTTGGCCCACTGTGTTTCGATTACTGCATACAGCTTGCGCTCTGGATTCTCGGGTTTTAAGCAGGAAGTTATTCGTCTTTGCATCGCCCTTGCTTCATATATAACTGTTTGCACTTGTTCGGTTTTATTTTTACATCGTTCAAAATTATTAAATACGTCAACATTACTATCCTATCAAGCAAGTGGACATTGACGATACTTTTCAACTTGAAAAACGCTTAAAATTATGAAATAAAAGAAAATGTGATGGAAATTTCGAAATTTAATAGGAATAATTTTATTGAAGTACATTTTTATCTTTTCCTTTGCTTTGATCTAAAATTTTAATTGTCGATATTTCGTGAAATAATTTATTTAGATACATTTTCATTTCATTATTCAAGTAAGCGGTAAAACTGTTTAATGACGCCATCATAATTGTTTAATCGTAATTACTTCAAGATAACAAAATACTGTTCATAGTACTCTAACTTAAAAATCACAAGTCACATCACGGTTCGCTGCTACTTTTAGTCTTTCATGCTATGTTGAATGATATTCAAACAAGCCGCTCACTGATACTTTATGCAACGAGTGCGGATCATTTTATTTAGACTAAAAGTAGCATTTGTATCGCAAATGTCTATATTGATCCTTCTGTCCTCTTATTTCATTTCAACATGAGCAGTTCCATAATTTTGATCTAGAATGTTAAATGTTTACTTTAATTTGACAATAGAGTTTAAGACTTGAAAAAAATTTTACAAACAAAGATTCTCGAATTTTCCGATTTCATCTTTCATAAAAATATTTATCAACCAAAACCTCCATTGAATTAATTTTACAAGATTTTGTAAAATCATAAAAAAAAATTATATTTTGCATGAAATAATTATCTATAAGACACGAAATTAATTTTGGTATTCGAAAATCCCTTTTATTTTTTCAAATATCCTCACAAACTAATAAATCGACATTGCGAATTAAAGTTTTATTTGAAATTGGACTCACAGTATAAAATTTTAAAGAAAAATTTAGTGGAATGGCTAAATTTAACTTTTTAGTAAGAAAATAGTTTAGTTGAAAAAAAAACTTAAAACTGAATTAATCGTGTTGAAAAAGTGTAGTAGTTTCTATCCTCAATTTTTTGCAAGCTGACTTCTTTGTTACTTATTCTCACTTTACATCGCATTTACAAAAATATTAAGTTCTTTTTTATGAATCGTATAATCTTTACGTATATTAATATAAATATCTTTGAAATTTTAATAGACATATTAGTTGAAACAAGTTTTATGTACTTCTTTCAAAATTATTCAAAAATGATGTTTAATGATCCAAAAGTTTAAATCGAGTAGAAATTAAACATTGTAATAAATTTTTGTATTAATTTTGATATTTCTCGTAATCCAATAAATTTGCGAGTGATACTTGAAAATAAAGTTTTTATCCGAAGGAACATTTTAGTTATAGTTATACTATAACTTCGAAAACATGAAACAGCATTGATGAATTGAATAAAAATTTAAAGAATTGTTTTAAATTTGCTTTCAGTAAAAGATGAATAATAAGTATGCATGATGGTACTTTTACACATCTTGAATAATCTGCTTTTCTAAAATTGCGACTTGACCCTTAAAAATCGCTCCCACTTATATTTGATAACGAATTAATGTTTACATACTCTGATATGCTAAATTTGATGTTTTAACATGGAAGGGTCTCACTTTTCCCTTCCATTGAAAGTTAGGTTTGTCTATTTATTAATTAGGGGTAAGCTTCCTTGGATAGAGTTCAATTTGGTTTCCATCGTTTTTTCCATGGTATTTTCGACTGTCGAGTCGGAGGAAGACTCAGTTTTTTTTTCACTTGTCTCAACTCTTGAGCTTTCTTGATTTGCTGGTTTATTCTGAAGCATAGATTCATTACTTAGATTTAAATTGATTGCTCCAGCATCATTCAAAGAAGAGCTTACTTGATCAGAAGCATTTTTTATTGAGCTTCCTAGGTCAGAGTTAGTTTTAGTTTCTATTGTTTTTTCGACAATCGAGTCAGAAGAAGACTCAGTTTTCTTTTCACTCGTCTCAACTCTTGAACTTTCTTTTCTTTCTACAGATTCATTACTTAGATTTGAATTGATTGCTCCAGCGTCATTTAAAGAAGAACTTACTTGATCAGAAGGATTTTTTATTGTACCTTCGATGTTTAAGTTGCCTTGTTCATTTTTCCCTTGATCTAACTTAACGTCAGATTGTTCTTGATTTTGAGAAGGGCTTTCTTGATTAGATTTAATTGGGCTTACCGGAATTTTGTTTTTGTACTGATTAATAAGATTCAGGGCATGTCGTTCCGTATCTTTAATATGACTCAAATCTTCATCTTCTTCCACAGCAGGCACATATTTCTCTAAAAGAAGTGGCTTTATACTATTTTGCGAATCTTTTTTCAGATTTTCATCGCTTACTACAATTTGAGTAACGGGATTAGAATTTGTTGCGGGAGTTTCATCAACAGGCTCTAATAATTGCATTGAACGAATATCTTTCCTCCTATCGTCTATTTTGTTTCTCAATTCTCGGAGAGTTTGTTCAGTACTTTCAAGTTTTTTCGAAGATTCATCTAATAGATCTAGAGTTTTTTCTAATTCAAGTTTCTTCATATCATGAGATTTTTTTATGCTGTCTAGCTTCGAATTGGTTGTTATTAAAATGCCTTGTAACGATGCTAATTGCAATGATTTTTTCTGCAATTCAGATTTTGTATTTGTCAGTTCAGTCATCTTACTTCTACGATCATTGTCGAGTAATTCAAGCCTAATTTCCCTTTCCTTAACTTTCGAACGAACACGCTCCAATTCCTTTGACAATTTGTCTATCAATTTATTGGCATTTTCATATTCTTCCTGTTTCTTATCCAACTCAGCTATTTTCGATTCGAGCCTACGGGACTTCATCTCATTCTGAATTTTGAGATCTCGGTTATCGGTTAAGTGGTCTTCACATTGCTTTTTGAGCCTATCTAATTCCATTTTCAAATTGTCGTTAGATTCTTGAATTTCATTTATTTTTCCTGTTGCAGTTTGCTTAACTCTTTTAATTTCTGTCATTTTTTCCTCTACCTCTTGAGTTAATCTCGTAATTATGGTTGTTTTTGTCGTCATTTCTTCTTTTGTTTTAGCTATCTGAGTACGTAGCACTTTCATGATTTTTAAAACATTTTTTAAAAGTTTATTATTATGTTCTCGATCTTTTTTCAAGGCTACTACTTCTTGAATTTTTCTATGAAGCTCCCGTTTCAATAATTCAATTTCCGTGAAAAACACGTCTCTTTCATTTCTTAATGCTTCCGTCGATTTACTGCAAGCTTCCTTATCTTTCTGCAATTTTAATTTTATTTCACCTGGAATTTTAAAGTTTTTTTGTTAAAATTTATAAAATTAGCAAGTAATTTTTTTTCCAACGTAATTCATTATTTGTTCTACTTTTTTATAGTATCAAGATTATTGCAAAAATACAAAGCATTTTTGAAAACTGGAACTTATTTAGTTAATAACTACTAATTATTTTAATACAATGAAGAAAATACTCTTGCGTACTCGAATAAAAGCTCAGAGTGATATTTAAAAATTTTAATTTTAGGCTAAGAATAAAATATGTGAATAATAAATGAATTACTAAATGGAAAAAAATATAGCAAACTTAAAAATTATACCTAAAGAGGATAGCTCATCTATTTTCGTATTCAAAATTTTCTTCGCATTCAACGATTCTTTTATTTTACTATTAAGTTTTTGAATCAACGTTGTTTTTTCATTTTTGTAACGGTTTAATGTGTCGATAATTCTTGTGTCATATTTATTAAAAGGACCATTTTTTAGATCCTAGAAAATTTAAGAATCATTTTATTTATAGAAATTACAAAATTATTTTTCAATAAAAATTCAAAACATACCTTCACATTCTGTAAATTCAACTGAACTTGAACTGAATTTACCTAGGGGATAATAAACGAGTTTAATTGTATCTTACTTTTAGAATAATTGTGAATCCAAATCAGAATAAATTGTACTTACATAATTAAATGTGTGGCAGAAAAAATAAAAAATGAAAATTTTTTGAAACATTATAATTTATTTACAAGTAGAAGTCGAAAGCCTGGTGTTAGCTGCAAGACTGCCTTGAATTAGTTTTAACCAAGACTTTATTAAATCTCAAATGGTAAAACGGAACGACGATCTCATTGGTTGAAATGAATAATTTATCGACAAGCAAAATTTTTATCGATCATAAAACGTTGCTCAGATTTCGTCAACCGTAATTGAGAATATACTTATAGCTTTTTTGCAGCAATTAAACTTTTATTTAGTGCGTCAGAACGACCACTCGATTCAGAGATAAGCCTCGTGCATGTAACTTTTCACGCCAAGATCAAATAACGTGTTAAGGTCAGCCTGAATTTAGTTTCAGAGGTGTAACAGTGCATTATACACATGCTCTTTTCTCTATCTTTTTATTTACCATATGTTATACCGTCTTAAATATTAAATGTAACTACCCACAATACTGTATACTTGAATAAAAAAATGTCTCTACTATGCGGGTCCAGCTACTCGGCTAATTAACGACCGCGATAAATAATTGCCTAGCAGCTCTATGGGCATTGTCAACTGGCAAGTCGGGACACTTTTTTGTCTCCCCCGTGTAGAGACGTCGTTAAAAATAATTCAAGCTCCAGCCGCGCTTTCTTTCCTTTTCTGTTCGTGTAACTTTCATGTTTGTCGCGCGAGAAATTTTGAATTATGTCCTTTGCATGTAAAAATTAGCGTAATGCTTTCCTTTCTTTCAAAAATTTTTTCTCCGCTTTGGAATGGAGCTTCTTTTCTCTTGCTCCCGATGAAATTATATACAAACGCAACAAAAGAATGCCGTAGCATTTTGCAGGGAACTAAATTTTGAGTGTCACAGTTACAGACACATACATGCGCTTATATCGAAGAGTCACACGAGTGTTGGAGAATTAGTCAAGAGGGAATTCTTAATAAGCGAAAGTGAGTCGTGTAAGGGTGTCTTCTCGTTTCTTGCACATTGCCAACTGTATATTTGCTCGTCGCGGGCAGGAGACAGTAAACTCCTTACATATTCTTGCACCGTCTCTTTATATGCTCCGGTAACTTTGTCGAATTTGTAGTTGAGGTTGTAATAAACGTAAACCTGGGAATTCTACCCCTTTATACTCTAGATACTTCGCCCGAACGTGTGCGTGTGTGCATTCGTACGGCGTAAAGATATGTGTATGATGTTTTAATTCTTCGACTCAATTGTACGATGTAGAATGACTCGGGCTATACGTACGTCTTGCGAAGGGCAACATGCAACATATGCGATTGTAGCTAAATTATTGTAAGCACCTCATACTCGCAAAGAAGCGTACTAAGCTGAAGATGGTTCGAAATTATACGTACGTATATAATGTAGGCACAACATAGAAAAGAAAAAAAGTGCTTGCGGATATTGGCCTTTAGGTTGCGCGGCACAACTGCCTAAGGGTGAAGAGGCAGAAGAGGTACAAGCGCGCTGGAACGTAAAAAAGTGATCGCCTTTTTCGGTTTCTCGCCCACCCTAGGCCAAAGTTGCAATATTTATGAGACATTCTGTACATTCGATATTTTCGATTGCCCGATCGACTTGCTATTTGTCTTATTTATGTTTCTTTTACTCGCCAACTCTCGCACTGTCTCGAACGGATTTTTGTGCTTGCATTGTCTTATTTCTTTTCTATCTCGTGCTTTGCTATCTCTTCGTTTTTTTGCAATCCCACAGCAGTCCAAACAGTATCATAAAAAGTATCGAGCAGAGTTTTTAAGAGCGAGAATCTATGTTGGGTTCAATCTGGTCCATAAAACGCGTCATTCTATTTATCGAAATTTATTGTGCTTGCAGAACTAAATAATAGCAGGCCAAGTCAAGAATTTTCGAGAGATAAAAGTAAAGAAGTAATTTTCCGCGTTAATGCAACAGGCCTACAAAAGAGTGCCGTGACACGCGGTGTCGAGACTCATACGCGGAGTGGGTGAGCCGACTATTGGTGCGAAATCACCGACTGCCAGTTATTATAAATTGAATGCCGAAGACGATGAGAAATCGTGGAGCGCGGCTTGCGTCGATGGCGATAAAGGCGACGCTTTTACGAGACTTTGCCGTCATCTTCGTTCGTCGTTTGCTATTTAGCTTCGTCAGCTTTTGAAAGTCTTTACGTTGCCTCTTGTGCGTACGAGAGCGAGAAGATTACCAAAAGCGCGCGCGAATCCCAATGCCGTATCCGTTTATTTCTCTTGTGCATCATATTGAAATCCTGCCCCGGTAGCTTGTTAGGGAGAGAGAGAGAGAGAACTGTATAAGGGATTAGATGCAATTCAATTTGGCGCATTTTAGAGAACACGCGGCACAGGATCAATATTCAAAATCGCGCTGATTCATTTGTAATCGCTGCAGCAATATGAATTTCAAAACAAGCAGAGAAGAGCAAATAGGTAAATGAAGAGAGGCAACTCGCTACTGCAACTTTACCTATAAATATATGTACCGATGATACTGATATAATATTTCAATCAAGACATGCTCGAGAGAACGCACGTAGCCGCATGTAGATTTGGCATGTCCAATGGGAGGACAACGGCTCTTTCTCTCTCTCTCTCTCTCTCTCTCGCCAACACATTAAAGGCGATTTGAATTTCATGACGCTTTAACGATCTTAATTAGAAAGCCCTTGGTGTTCCTCTCTGCGAGTCTCAAGGCGGCTACTTCGAGAAAGATAGCTAGTTGTAGCAGCTCGAAGTGGAATAAGGCTGGGTAACGGGTGGAGGAAGGAGGGAGATCCTTGGCACGCTGTTTATTTCCGTATTAGCAGCGGTAGCACAGCCCTCGAGACAAATCGTGTACAGTAGAGAACCTCTTGGGGATAAGCCTCGCAAGCTAAGATGCTCCGGCGTCTCTCGTGGAGGCTTTTTTCCATGATCGCTTGTGTCGATTTCAACGTGTGTATATGTATATATGCCTGCACAGCTACACGCACGAGGCAAGCAAGATTGATGTACCTAATTTTTCACGAGTATCGGTGTACGCTATTCTCGAGCGAGGATTTGTCTGTGGCTTTCGCTTACACATTTATTTACTAGCGATATTTATTTAGACGTTTTGCTCTGCCTGCGAGCATTTCCGAAGCTTCGATACGAGACGATGGCATCATTTTTTCCTCAAATTTCGAGATCCATTAAAATAATCAATTCGACCCGAAATAGCTCGCTTGTGTCTATATGCACACGGCAGATTCATAAATCACGAGCAGAGTATCTCGACGCTGTATATGTATATATATATACTCATAGGTATAAAACAATTTCAGCATCAGCAGCGTAACAAGCTAATTAGATGCAGCGCGTGGATCCGAAGGAGTTTCGTATATATGCTATATTCCAAGTCTTAATCCAAGGGACGATGTTCTACCCTCTCTCTGCCTCTCTCTCTTCTGCGTCTGATCTATAGAACACGTATGAATATATCCATGGAAAGGTTGTGAATTTCGGTAAAGGGAGGCTACGCGTCCAATAAGCTATATATAAGAGAAAGCAGCATCGTATTAGCCGGTCGGGTGGAAGGACTGCAATAAACGGTGGTTTATGGAGAGAGAGAGGAAAGTCGGAAGGCCGATTAAATTAACGGTTAGGCTATCCAACGGATACCTAAGATATGAACGTATACACAATGTATATATATGCAGTTGAAAAATCAAAACTTATACTTGTTCATTTTGTTACTTTTAAAATGATATTTTATGCACGAGCTCCGAGTATTAATACAATCAAGAATCAGAGACAGCTTTGCTTGATACACAGATGAAGAGTCAGCCGTTTTCCATATATTCGTCTTGATGCTAAACATACATATACATATCATCGGTACATGCGGGTAGTCTATTATGCAATTAGAGTGGCTCTTTCTATACACATACAAGCTTTACGGGCTCAACCGACTGTAGTTTGGATATGTTCGCGCGTACAGTTCGAAGAATAGACGTGGAGAACTATCGGACTACGACGACGACGACGACACCGACGACATGGACATGTCCCTCTGACACACCCTTTCTTCGTTTGGCCAAACTCCGGACTCTCGAGGACGAAAGCTTATGTCCTCGCTCTTTCTCGATGGTATTCTCCTTTGCTCTCTGCTTATCTAGGAAACATGCACGCTATTTCCCTCTCTCCCTCTCTCTTTCTCTCTGCTACTGAAGGCTCGCTTGTATGGTTTCCGTTTCTCCAATTCTCATGGACATTAATTATATAAGAAACGAATTTAGCGTATACACATAGAGAAAGAGAAAATATTTCGCCCTCGTTTCTGCATTTTATTCCAAGTTGAGAGAAAGGGTGAAAGCTCGATCAGTCGATCACCTGGTTGGATGTATTTGCTGAGCAGGACGATTAATTACATTCATAATTCGTTTTTAGATGAAAAAGCTCGTGCTCCGGAAGAAATTTATAATAATGTTTACCGAAAGATCAATTTTTTTCTCTTTTCCCTGAATTCTTTCACTCTCAATTGTTGACTTAAGCTTTGTATGTTGGACAGAATTTTTAATTAGTCACGATTTCTTTGCTTACTTTTTTTCTCCTTCTTGTTGTAATTTTCTCCTCGGCGTGCCAGGCCGCTTTAACGACATTTAGTTGCTGCCAGCGATGAGTAATTCACCCGAAGATGAAATGCAAATGAATAAACAAGTGCATTTGTACCGCAGTCATTGGAAACATTTTTCCTATGGCTCTTCTTCGTCTTCGATAATAAATGAAGCTCAACCGCACACGCTCAGGCGGAGAGATGAAAAGAATTCCAAGACTTTCCGCAGCCGATTTACCGCACGTATGGGGTGTGTGGAACTGCTGTACGTAAGTACAGGGTATAGGTATTCGCGAAGCTTGCGCGTGTGTTGTCATCATCGCCGGAAAAATAGCAGCGTAAGCTCTGGGCAAAAAAGATTCCCCGCGCCTCGGGAATTTTAGTCTAAAGAGGAATTTTTCGCACCCTCTCCTGGCCGGTGGTTGGAGAAAAAAATGCCAAGACAGAAATTTTTCATCGTTACACACACATAATATAAGTACATGTTTATACAGCAGACTTTGGAAGGGGGTAAATAAATACAAATTGCTAGATTATCGGCTGTGTGCGCTTTTTTCGCGACACGATTTTT